ACCAACAAAGCATCCCATTGCTTCGTGGGCAATTTCAATTTTTCTAAAGCACTCAAATGATTATGAACTTTATCAGTGAGTAGTCTTAATGAAGTTGCAGAATCTTTCATGACAAGGGGAAGATCAAATAATGCTCTTATGTGGTTATTAACTATAACACGATTATTTTGGTACCTTTTCAGGAGTAAATCCCATGCGATCACATAATTATCAGCAGATATTTCTAATGATTGAATGAGTTTCCAAGCATCGGCTTTCAAACAAGATCTTAGGTAATAATATTTTTGTATATTTGTCAGGTTTATATTTGAATGAATAAGTTGTTCAAAAGCATCATGAAAGGTTAACCACTCATCATAGTTTCCTGAAAATACTGGTAAACTGATCCTAGGTAATCGTAAATTCGATAACGGGTCCAAATTTGTTGAAGAAGAATTAGCACCTTGAATCGGATTGAGTGAATGTTCGGATACTTGTAATGCATTTTTGATTATTGTTTTTGCCCTGGATATTGCTTCAAAAAATAAATCTTCTTGTTCAACACGACTGACTTCTTCATCGATATCTAACAGTTCTATTCGTGATTGAACTTTATCATATTCCTCAAAAACTGATTCGACTTTTTTTGATCGAACTTCTAATTCAGTTATATTTATATCTCTTTCCTGCGATCTTAAATATGTCTGAAAACGTGTAAGTTGACCTTTCAATATTCCGCGTGATTTCTTCAATTCAGCTAGATCAGTTTCATTTGTTATCATTTTTTATCAATATCCTAGGTAATACAACATCAACTGTAGAAAAATGTGTACGAAACAAACTCAAATCTAAAGAATTGCCTTTCGGGTATATCGAAAATATTTACGTAGATATGAAATTGAATGTAAATGAATGGAGATGTTGCTCACGATACGGTTGTTGCTCAGGTTTGATCGGGCTCGGGCGAGAGGTTCTGTATGTTACTGCACTATATCTTCCACGGTAGGTATTTTGCTGGAGATCTGGCTCGACTAGACCAAATGTACAATTCGTGTGCTTGACTGAAGGACCACCCTTATAAGGGACGTGAATAACTTCGATTTACGAGGCGAGAGTATACAATTTCTTCCTTTATTTCAATCAACCTGACATACATTACTTTTTTGATATTAATTCTCTTCTCTATGGAAACTTGAACCATATTGCCAAGATACAAATTCAATGTAACTAAGGATACAAAAAATGCAATGATGACAAATTAAGTAGGATATCTAAATATAATGGACAACAGCTGCAAAGTGTAACTGCAATATGCAATATAACTAAGACGTCTAAGGTCGCTGCGGAGTACGACTCCGCACTACGCTATAAAATTCGAAAACGAAGCAATTTTGCACATCGGTAATATTCGATTCGTACTGAAGTCGTCATTTTAGGGTGCGGCAGAATCAGGGAATGAAGTATATTCAAGAAAACTCACGTTTTATATTCGTGTGGAGTGATACTCCGCGTGCGACTGCTGGAAGGTTAAACTATACCTACGACATGTCACATCATGTTGTGTGTGAATCAAATGACCTTTTTTTCCATGAAATCACTCAATCAGGTATATTCTTCACATCTCCATATTCGGTAGTGAAAATGAACTTGAAAACTCTATGCTGATGGAGAATGTATGGGCCTGAGAGCAAATTTTTCCGAAGTATAACATCCGGCATCACCAAAGTTCTTGGCGAAGTGGATTCAGAGATGTTTACTCTTCATAGGAACTTTGTCCATAACTTCAAGACTGTGTGAAGTATGGGATCGACTGGAGTTGATTGGAAAACTTTTTGGTACAGTATTATAAAGTCGATAAACATACATAAACATCAACATTTTATGATCGACCAAGCTTACGATCTATGCAAACGAATGCGATTTACAGCCAGAGCGTTGGCTGCAATGCAGATCAGCGCCATGAAATGATGGAGAAGGGTAATAAATGATATCCTTCAAGATGCTCTCCAAGTGATAGTTCACTTTGAAATTAGCCTAATGAAGTGTATTTTTCCATTGTAATACCTGAATAATTCTTATATACAGAGGTACCTTTACTCATATATCTATTATATTATATTATTCAGTTCATTTCGACTGCCCTCGGAAGGAATTGAATGAATAGGAAACCTTAAACTTGAAAATTTCTTGAAATTCAAAGTCTTCTTCGAGATATCGTGAATTATCCATCAAAATACAACAGGAGAATCGAAGTCATATGAGTAAGTAGTGGAGAATAAATTGATCTTCATCATACAAGGTGTGAAAAGAAATTCTGATTTGGGCAAACCCATTCACGATTGTGTGACTAGATCACTGATGAATCAAAGTTTCATCGTTCGAGTTTGATATGAATAATTTTTGAAAGCTTCAAGCTCATCAAGATCAGTGTTTGAACAAGTGAAATTCTGCAATATATCTCAATGTTTTTTCAATAATGAATACATGGAAAGTCATGTTTTGATATAATAACACATATTGTTATATCCGATTTGAATGGGAATATACCCCCTCAATTCCTGAAGATTTTCATTTTCATATATGGGTGAAAATAAAAATAAATCACCTTTCCCCCTACGATATCAAGAATATTCACAATCTGAGAATGACATCACTAATGATCTGAAATTCTAATTATATATGTCTTCACGATATAAGTTTTAGCAAAACACGTGTTCTCCAGAAATTCCATCCAAATATGATAATTGTCCTGTCGGTAACGTGTCCCACCGTGAAGATTGAAAATTCAGTGAAGGTTTCGAGAATAAAATGAATACAGTGTGTCCCACTTAACATGCTCACCATGGGTATCTTTTTAACGGTGAGAGATACGAAGTCGGTTGAATGACACCAAATGTGGAGTTTGTCAAGGCCAACTATAATGTGTAGAAATATCTTGATAAAATCTATTCGTTTTTGTTTTATATGCAAAAAACAGATTTTGATCATTTTCATGGCTCCTCCGTAACTTCTTTAATTATGAAAATATTCGAATAGGAATTTCACATTCTCATGGCAGTTCTTCAAATTGATTTCGAAAAAAATATGAAATTTATACCAACTCTTCTAGAATTTGAGATATCAGCACCAACTTCAGTTTTCCAAATGTAGGTCATAGCTCACTATGACTTGGTTACACATACCTTTTTTTCTTTCTTACAGATGATATGTCGCAGTAATAGTTTTGTGTTGAAAACAACGATGTTATCGTCATTTTTACAAAAACAAAAAATTATTTTGAAGCCGCCATTTTGAATTTATGAATTTCAACAAAAAAATCATGATCTCCGACCTCAAAAACCCCCACTCACCAATTTTGAATGGAATCCGACCAAATCTTGTCCGCCATCTTGGAGCAGCCATTTTTTTCAATTTCAACAAAAATTCCATAACCCGGAGTTGACTTGGAATTTGGCAGGTGTTCATAATTTCGGTGACAATACATTATGGAATTTTTCTTGAAATTTAAAAAAATGGCTGCTCCAAGATGGCGGACAAGATTTGGTCCGATTCCATTCAAAATTGGTGAGTGGGGGTTTTTGAGGTCAGAGATCATTAAATTTTTGTTAAAATTCATAAATTCGAGATGGCAACTTCCAAATAATTTCTTGTTTTTGTATAAATGACGATAACTCCGTTGTTATCAACACAAAACTATAACTGCGACATATCATCTGTAAGAGAGAAAAAAGTTAATCGTAACTAAGTCATAGTGAACTATGAGCTACATTTAAAAAACTGAAATTTGTGCTGCTATCTCAAATTATAGAAGAGTTGGTATAAATTTAATATTTTTTTCGAAATCACTTTGAAAAACTGCCATGTGAATGTGAAATTCCCATTTGAATATTTTCATAAATGAAGGAGTTACGGAGGAGACATGAAAATGATCAGAATCTGTTTTTTTGCGTATTAAACAAAAACGAATAGATTTTATCAAAATATTTTTTCACATCATAGTTGGCCTTGACAAACTCCACATTTGGTGTCATTTAACCGACTTCGTATCTCTCACCGTTTGAAAGATACCCATGATGAGCATGGTGAGTGGGACACACTGTATATTCGATACACATGTTTCATCCCATCTGATTGAAAATAATAACAACTTATATAGATTATAGTTACTTCACCCAACCATTTCACCTACTAGTGAACTTACAAGGTAGACACACTTGTTGTAATTATCTGGTCGGTAACTCGAACTGCAAGTAATAATAACGTCTGCTAGAGGTATCAGAAGAACCTTACTACTGATGGCAAAATTACTTATTCAATATGTACTTATAGTGAGATTAATGTTCAATCCTCATCAACTTCCACCTACGAATCCGTCTATGGAATTATTTTCCGAAAAACACGATAGTATATTTTCACAAAGTCTAATCGGTAACATCTTAGGTAACATATGCAAATAAGTTATTAATTCACTATCGTTGCTTACAGAATCAAATATCAATTATATTCACAATTAACGATTCGTCAAACCACAATTGAACATCATTGTATGCTCGCTATTGCATTGATACGCTGATAAGGAAATGTCTTGTCGGTAACACTTTTGTCGGTAACGAAATGACATTGAATTGTCCATTACCGACAAAAATAACATAAGACAATTGCAGTGTGTTCAATAAATGTAATTCAATGTCCGACGAGGCAAATAGCCAGGAAAGTAGTTATTTCCTGTTGATTATTTTCCTCGTATGATTTGAAACCAATCAGAACATTCAATGGAGTTAAGCTACCCTGTATAATTTCTAGCTCTACTAATCAGAAACAATATGAAGACCACAGACAAAGAAGGCGCTTTGTCAATTTCTAAGGAAATTGAGTTATCAGTGTCATCTATTAAAAAAATTTCAAAAGTTTCACCCTATCTTATCATTCAGGCTGAAAATGCGCTCAGTCGTGAGTATTATAATAGGAAAAGGCGCTATGTCAGTGCGGTGCTGGGTAAGAAGGCGCTTAGTCAAACTAACCTTCGCGTTTTTGTTATTTATTTGCATTTCGTAGTAAATTATGGCTTAGTTTGTTCTTTGCAACACGTCGTGCTTGACGTAAAATCTTGATGGCACTAGCCTTGAATTTCTCAACAAAAAAAAGAGGACGATATGGAAGATTGAGTGATTTTTATGAAAATAATTAACTTAAGAAGCCGCATGTCATTGGCAAAGACTGTGGTTACAAACGTTTCAAGTGCTTTGAAAATGTGCCCGAAGTGTGTCCACCGCAAAAATAGATTATTTCTACTATTAATGATTTTAGACAAATGAGATTTTCATTTATAAAAAAGTTGGTTCAAGAATCATAATGTTGTGTAATGAATCATATGACAAAGCGCATTTTACCTTCTTTTCTGTAATAAGGTGTCTTTTTCTTCTTTTGGTTGAATTGATTTACTCGTTGATTCAATTTATTGAATAAACATCGATAATGAACATGGAAGGTCCATTTGTATATCATTTGGAATATAACTCACCCTAACGAACAAAATATGAAGGTTCCAATGCTTTAGAACGGGTTTTTTCGACATCCCATTTTTTTACATCACGCCTTCTTTGCCTGTGGTCTTCATATGTAATACCCCCGCCATTGGCCAAAATATCCGCAAACTTCAGAGCTCAAAATTTCTCTACTCCACCACTACCTCTCACGGTATCCTGTCCGCTGCCCGCTACCCGTTTCGACCGTTTCAGGCTTCATTTTTGTGCCAGTGATTCCACTGTAACGGTCCACTAGTGCATCGTTCATAACTCCTTTCCATCATAGGTAGGTATATGCACTCATGTTATGCTGCGAAATGCAGTCTTTTCAGAGACATGATCGCTGGAAATCCTACTTTGAAACTACTTTGGGACTAACCATGTCAGTTTCAACACCCAATAATAATCATAATGAATCGCACTCACATTGAACTCTCGTCACACTGTTTTCTCATTGTGATAAAATCAAGGTACACACCTGTACTGCGCGAAGGATTTCATCTGATGAGTTTTCAATTTCATATATTCTCTGTTCATTGGGTTATGTTTATTTTGCAAACAAATATCAGTATGCAACTGTATAGCCTGTCATATTATATTCTTCCTTTTTCAGCTCCGTTTGTCAAGTAGCCGTGAGACAGTGTGGAAACTAACTATATATTATTGCCAGTAACGAACTAAGCAAGCTTTTCCAGGCAAAGCACCACGTACACCTGTGAGCGAGAGTCCTGATGTAAACAAGGTTTTTGAAAGTGCAGAACACCTCCGGGAAGAACAAGGGGTTTTTCACTCCCTTATTCACTAAACAATAACAAAATACATCGGAAACACACGCATCATGATGCTCTCTTTCCAGGCTCTCTCGGTATACCGCCATTCTGGTACCGTCGTGTGACTGTTTAACGGCAAACAATGTTCCATAAACATCTGCTATTTTCGACTATTATTGCTGCTGCTGCAATATTAGGTGTATTCGTTCCTGTTGATGAAAAATAATTTTCTGAGCCCATGATGCTAAAGATGCTGAAAATAGTTCATCCGAATTTGGTATCTTCGTGATGGATGCTGAGTTATTTTGGTAAAAGCTACATCACACTTATAGGGATGACCTACTGTCAGTAGAGTTTTCGCCACCAACTTGATGAAAAGTTGGACTTCTACTTCTGATTCAATTATGGTACTTCATATTGTTTTCTGCCTTCGTGAGAAAGGGAGTATCAGCGCTGATAGTCCATTTCATGGGGCTTGGTTATACAGGGTGTCCGCTAAAAGAAGGTCAATCAATTAACCATATATTCCTTGAACGAAAACAATATGAGTTTCTAATCACCATTTCTCATTTTAGCCCTTCATATTCGATATACAAAGTGTCAAAGTTGGAAATTGAAAACTGTTTTTTTCTACTTACTCGCATATTAGATGGCATATTATTCTCAAAATCGGTACATCACTTCAGCACTGAGAGTTACATCGTGTGAGGGAAACAAAACAAAAAATAACTGTCGAATATTCAAGAAACTGAGGGTCAAGTACACACTTACCCCTATATATTTTTTGTACGTGTGCTTATGACTTCCGATCTATTTTTTATCTAGTGTTCAATCAATTTCGAGTATTTTCTGTCTTGTGAAAATTGTGAAATTATTTATTTTTAAGATAATTCGAAAAGTACTGGTTATTGTTGGATGCCTATGCGGCTCACGGTAATCTCATAATGTTCACATACTCCTATTTATTTCGTCGAAATTGAAAATGGGCGTAACTTTTTACGTACGAAAAGGTAAATATGGAAATACTTGGTGCTCAGAGCGAATGTATTGATAAAATTTTCACAAAAAAAAAAATTATAGAAATTCAACACGCCTATTTGCTCGATGAGATTTTCTTCAATTAAAAGGGTTCGCATTTGTATTCATAAAATTGAAGGTAATTTCTATATATATATATATATGAAGTAGGCTCTTACAACCTCCTGTAGCTAACAATGAAACTGATAATGTTATTTGGGTGCTTTTTGGAGTTGAATGATTTCTTGATTTACAGAAGGTCCTCTTTCAATACAACTTATACTTTCCAATGCCGGTTCTAATTTCATGGATCAAATGAACATTATCCATATTACTATAATTTTTCGCAGAAAAATGATCATGCCCCACTTGGGCTAACACATTGTTTATGGATGTTTTCTATGTTCACATTGTTCAATGTTGAAAAACTGTACCTACTTCAGGCCCAGCTTCTATTACTCCTCGTATCGCCTTCGCCATTTTCGGACTGTCGATTTTTGTTTCTTCTTGTTGGAAAAGTAGAATTGATTGAGTAGGAATATAAGTATGAATAATCGAATATATCAGCTTCTTTTCATAGTGGAATAGTGCAAAATGCTTGTTATTCTTTTTTTTTCATCAAGGTGGTTGAAATCCTTCATGGAAACCATATGGGTCCAATCCCCCATATGATAGTGTCCCCTGACCCCAGTCTCTGATGACACTTAGTCCTAGTGGCCCATTGTATCTAACTACATGCCATCATCAATTTTACCATATACGACTCATGATGATTATTAAGGGCCACTTCAATATAAAAGACTAATTTTGTTCAGGTTCATGAAGATTACTCTTCCGATCCCTGTTCTCGTCTATGCAGAAGGCCAAAAGTTTTCCTTCTCCTACGAGTGACGGGAGAAGGGGTTGGTCCAGCCCTGTGGTGCCCCCTGCAGATGGCTAAGGCTACTTACTCTGAGATGTCACCCTGTTTCCCAAAGGCTCTGTTAGCGACACCATATCTCGGTGCCATTCATTCATCGCCACGGGTTCCCACAGCTTGGATTATGTTGCCAGAGCCTCGTTGACCAGTCCTTGGTCACCTAGACATACATCAGCAAATCGCCCCATCCCTGCCAGAGATGTCCACAGATTGTCCCATCTGGTCCGGAGATAGCACAGATGGTCCCAAAATGCTTCATCCGTCGAGCGGCCGCGGTCTGTCCTCCCCACACCACTTGATGGTGAGGTTGGGCTTGAAGGAGATGAGGAAATGAGAAGTTGGCCAAGCAAGGCCGATTGATAGATCGAAAAAGGAAGAGAAAAGAGGATAACACCCAAAACAAGTTGAAGTATGGTGAATATCCGGCTAGGGTACCTCGGGTTCACCATTCCCGTACTCACAAGTTGTGAGCCCCTGAGGGGTGATTCTTGATATCTCATAGACATGCAATGGTTTGATGAAAGGTCGAAAGAACGATTCAAGTCCACGAATCAGTCTGTGAAACAGTTATTATTCTACGAACATCATGATGAAACCGAATACAACAATTATAATTATGATCACAGCAAGAAGTTGAACAATAAACACGAATAATACGATGCAATTATTGATATAAAATGTATGCAAATCTCAAGAGAGCATGTAAACCAACAACACCCTTCTTGCCGTCAACTTGTTTTGAAACAGACGCTTCAACGAACGATCACATTGCCAATCGAGAGGAATGAAGAAAATGATAATTGAATTAGCGTTCAAAGAAGCTTGATTCAACCCAAAACATTGTGAACTAGATGAGAATATGTCAATAATAAAAAATTATTTATGAAAATAGTATTTTTGATTCATAAAATTCATCAGAAGCTAAACTTAATCGAGAAATCGTAGCCCATGTGGCTCATCTAGATGATATACTATCCCACTGGAATTTATCACAATCATAGACTAGCCTTTTTATTCAGAATGAATTCATCCTCATTTAGAAATTCTCAAGAACACATTTCATAAATGGAGTATCGATGTTGAATTATAGGATATCGTGGAATGCGGATAGGACTGAAATTCGCAGAATGGAAAAAGCTCCGTACTTGGCGATTCGTGTTTTATGCGGAAATTCAGCTATAGAGAGAGAATTCAATTCAAACGTTCATTTATATACTGAATAAAAATCGATACTGTTGAAGATGTATGAAGGGACATTCTTTTCTTCTAGGAACATCCAATGTAATTTGATCGCTATCAAGAATACGAGAGCTTTTTTTTTGGAAAAAATTATGAATAATTCACTTGAGGAGACCAGAAAATATAGAAGATATCGTTCTGCAACATGTTCTAGTCTATTTCTCGAAACGAATCAGATATCATTTATTCATACACCTAGCTTGTAATTAATCTGATTATCACCTAGAGACCAAGATTATAACATAAGGCTCCAGCCAAGGAATATAAGGTCCCGAAGTGATGATATTCTCCACTTCCAAAATTCATATTCAGTTTTTCTCACCACTAGCAATACATTTCTATCATGATAATTGTCACTATGGAATCAAGCTTTGTCAATTTTGATGAAATTTAGTAGCCGTGACCATGATTGCATTCGAAGTTATTGATAAGTACTCCATATACGTATTAATAAACAATACGGAGCATAACGGGTGCCAGGATGAAGCTAAAAATATGAAACAAATGAATATCCATAAGGATTTGGTGGCATGATACGCATGCGCCATGCGCTATCATAGTAGTCATCAAAGACATGC